GCAAACAATCCAGTGAACCAATCAAAACTCACGCTGCTCTCCAAGGCCACATATCCTAGGCCATTATCTCATAAACAACTGGTATACACCGTAGTATAAATCTGAGCGCATTTTCAAATAAATTTACAGTACATCAGGAGAATTGTTTCGGCTATAGCTTTTTTGAGTACGAGCGTAGGCGCTCAGTCAAAAATGTCGCGCAGTTTCGACCAAAATTGCAGCAACAATAGCCTTTAGTGATTTTGACCAGTCTCTCATTTAGTCAGTTGTTGGCAGGTATGGCATTCCAAAGTTTCATAAGTATTATATAGCCGTAGAGGAATGTAAAAAACAAAACTTGGTAAATTGATTCGTTTTGAAATGATAGACTGAATGTTGCAAGCTAGAAACACTATATTGTGTATTGATATTGTTTATCCTCAGCCCGGCGATGGTCATGAGCCTTGTGTTATGGATATTCCAGTTTTTTCTGGCATCGTTCGTGTTTCGCGACCGACAGTTTCCGAATATTTCTGTTTCTATTGATAACAGGTAAACATAAATTATCGTATTTGTTGTCTCAAGTGAGAAAGCAAAATGAATTATCCCTTTCCCCAGCCAAATAAACCCGATGTAATGAGAAGTGGTAAAGGGGGACCTGACGCGAAACTTAACTAATGACTCTCATACTGTGTTATACTATGTTACTCAATTCGCGTTCTGACCAGTGTCAGTGGAGAGAGAGCATATTACCCATTAGCTAAGTGTTTTTCGAATATGTCGATGATTTCTTTCACGTTTGAATCATATACACGGTTAAACCAATAAATACAGGTTCACATGCAGTTTCCAAAAGAGGCCTCTCAGTTTTGATGTTGATTTGACAACATCTTTACCAGTTTGACTTGAGTTTCGATTTTGTAACTGGATGTTATCTCGGATTTTTGATATTTGTCAAACAGATTTCTTTTATAATACAATTAATGTGGCTGCATTAATTAAGTCTTTTTCACCTGCAGACGGCTCCATTCTATCATGTCGTACTTCTTCTTTTTCTTCAACATTCTTATGGGTGTGTTTTCCTGCCTTGGACGCATTCTAAAAGGATTGGCACTGGGCCTTATCTTCGTTTCGCGAATTGACCGAACATCTTTGATGCTAGGATTCCAGCAATGGGACAGAGGTGATATACATTAAAATGTGCCTTAACGTTGATACTGCCATGATTACTTATCCCGCGTAGTAAGAGTTTCCGTGCGAGCGAAGAACCTTCTCCGCACTTCACTTAAACACGTTGCGTCTAAGAGGTAGGTAAGCTCGCTCGCGTGCAAGTTGGGCCAAGAAAAAATGACCACGTCGTCTCACTTCGATTGTAAAAAGAAAATTAATTTGAGAGACTGAATCCTTCATTAAAACGTTTAAAAAAGCATTCGTAGTTAAAAAAGAAAGCAGGCATGAAAACCAATATGCAATGGTTCTACATGTATCTCTAGTTTCCACTCAATTTTAAGCTTAAATCGGATCTTACGTTTTCCTGCATCATGGTATCATTTCATCTGCACTGCCACTCGTTGTTATAGTAACAAGCGTGTCTTATCTTCAAGGCTTTGTTGCATACCTTGGTTTTCTGCATGTTCTGGTGGCTCATAGGCATCCCGTGATGCTCGTCTTTTGTGAGCTGCTCAGCACTAGAGAGGGTGATCCCAAATCAGGCCAGTCACTTGAGTTAAGTAAGTATACTTATACTTATACTTTATTTGAGTGTCGTAAAACAAAGTAATTTCTCTGGCCAAGCACAGACAATCCAGCGGACCAATAAAATTAAAGCCCAGAACAATTACATATAGCTGATTCAAAGCGTGGAAAAATGTGTGTGAGCGAGTGACGGTTGGTTTTGGTTTTACTTCTGATTGGATGAGAGAGATGAGAAAGTAATGCGAGTTCAGTTTTAAGCCAGTCGCCTATTGTGGTCGTGCAAAGCCAATTTGAATTGCTTTCAAAAGTCACGTGAAAAACGCTCTAAAAGGCACTAGTACGCTAATTCTTTCATTCAAACCTTGAACGTGTTTGCGATTCATAATAATAGTTCAAAGGTGTTAACTTCTAAACCGGCTTTTGACACAGCAGAATATCCAAGCCATGCCAAGGAAGCTAAAGGATCTGCAGGTATGTAACATTCGCGCTGGATTTCCATCAATTTAATGAGTGAAAATGCGAATAGTCTCGCGATAGAGTGTGCTTCACTTTGATAATGC